AAGAGCGTCAGGCTGCAGGGAGGGCACAGGGCTGAAGGTCCTGGTGCCACCCCTTGGCCAGTCACCCCGGCCCTGTATGTCCCCCACACTTCCTGGGTGGGTCAGGGCCATGGAGGAGGGCGGGGGTCCCCGTTGTCCCCCACACTCACTTGCTGTCTAAAAGGTCCATGATGGGCTGCAGGACGTTGTCAGCGTCCTGTGCGACGCTGCTGCAGGTGCTGGCGGGGACGTTCCCGGTGCCCTTCACCTGGCCCAGGATGTCACCCATCTGCTTCACACACTCCTCGATGTGTGGCTGAAAACTGGGGGTCACAACACCCAGATCAGCACCCCCACAGCCACACCTAAGACCTGCTTGGCCAAGAAGAGTCCCCAACCACAGATATTGGACCCTCAAGCCCCTCCTTGTCCCACCACCATTGTCCTCCTGCCCAGGTGTACCTGGTGGCAAAGACTCGGCTCAGCTCATCCAGGACATTGTTGAGTTTCACCTGCAGTTCCTTAAGGATATCACTGGCTTCTGTGTCCAGCTGGAGGAGGGACAAGTTGGAGAAGCCATTAAGATCTCTGGCCCAGCCCTGAGGGAGGGTCTCTGCACCCCCAATAAATTCCTGGGCAGGGTGAAGTCCATCCACTGTCCAACATCATGGAAGAGCAGGATGCCATGAGGTGGGACAGCATGATCCCTGATCAACTGGGCACAGCACTGCAGGTCCAGGGATGGGGCTGCTCTAGGGAGAAGGGACTGATCCAGCCCCTCCATAGGGCTTCCCTCCTGGAGTCCCCCAGTACACACCTCCTTCCCACCCATGGCTTCAAACATCTTCTCAAGCTGGACGCGGAGTTGCTGGATGTTGTTCATCAGGATGCAGGGCTAGAGGGGTGGGATGGAGAAGGGGGTCAGCACCAATAATTGTGGCTGGAAGAGCTACCCACCACCCCAGGTCTCTCCCACCTTGCACTGGGGAGGCAGGAGAACAGTGATGGCACAGGGCCTGCCATGGGACAGAGACCAAGGGCAGGTCCTGGGGACCAGGTCTGGAGCTGAGGTGATGGCTGGGGTGTGTGTGGGGACAGTCCTGCCTGGCAGGACCAGGCAGGTGACAAGCAGAAGGGAGATACGTCACCACTTTCTCCTTCTCCTTGGAGCAGTACGAGGCAAAATCCTTGGAGATGATCTCAGCATACTGGAGTAGCACGTTGCTGATGGTCTAGAGCCAAGCAAGGGATGGGACCCACCCAGACAGCAGCAAAGAAGAGGAAGGAGAGAGAGAAGGTGACCATGAGTCCCACAGCAGTGAAACAACCCAAGCCTGGATACACCCTGGCACCCTAAACCCTCCAGCCCCACGGATGTGCCAGGAGCCATGTGGGCAAAGCCACGGGGAGCCAGACCCAGCACATCTGGTCTCACAGGCTTCACCACCAGCAGAGCTGTGACAACACCACTCATGAAGCCTGCATACAACTCCCTCCCACACTGCAGCGAGCCAGTAGCATTTAATTAATCTAGAATAATTAACCAATTAAGTCATTAATTAGCTAATCTGTGCTAGCAAAGCTCTGAGAGCCACAGGGTCTGTTGGCAGCACATTGTTGAGCACGGCTGCTAGAGGCTGTGCAGTCTGTCCTGTGCCACCCACAGCAGGAGGGGAGGTGGCAGAGACAGCCCAGGACCCCCAGGCCAGAGTCCCAAGGGTTTTGCTGGCCCAGCAGCCCCCACCTCAGCAGCTGCCCACCTTGGCAAACCTTCGCATGTAGTGTCCAACAATCTGGGGGTCAGGGCACTCGAGCTTCTTGATGATCTCAAAGCTCTGGTTGAGCTGGGAGAAGACATCCACCACGGAGCAAGAGAAGAGAGCGTGCTCCGATGTCTGTTGGAACTGCAGGAGTGAGAGGCAGGGTCAGCAAGAGGTAGGGAGGGGAGATTTTGCTAATGTTGCTTCCCCAGCACAGAAAGGACATGGAACTGTTGGAGAGTCCAGAGGAGGCCACAAAGATCATCAGAGGGCTGGAGCAGCTCTGCTCTGGAGCCAGGCTGGGAGAGTTGGGATGTTCAGCCTGGAGAAGAGAAGGCTCCAGGGAGACCTTAGAGCAGCTTCCAGTGCCTGAAGGGGCTCCAGGAAAGCTGGGGAGGGACTTGGGACAAGGGCAGGGAGGGATGGGATGAGGGAGGAAGGGTTACAAGATGAAAGAGGGGAGATTGAGATTGGATATGAGGAAGAAATTAGTTGCTGTGAGGGTGGTGAGAGCCTGGCCCAGGTTGCCCAGGGAAGCTGTGGCTGCCCCATCCCTGGCAGTGTTGAAGGGCAGGTTGGATGGGGCTTGGAGCAACCTGGATGATCTTTAAGGTCCATTCCAGCCCAAACCAGTCTGGGATTTGGTGATTTTTGCCCCGATGGGGACACACTGGGCACTGAGGGACAAGTTCCTTGCCCACCCCCAGCTGCAGCCCGTGCCCACACACAGTCCTGTTCATACCCCATCCTTCTTATCCCGCTCCAGCGCTCCGTGCAGGAAGTCCCGCGACACCTCCTCATTCTCATCCAGCCACTGGATGACAAAAGGCTCGAACCAACTGGGAGAGAGACCAGTCCCAGTGAGGCCAGTCACCTCCCGGGGTGGCAGCCCCCATTCCCCAGCCCCTGGGGGCTGCACTCACGCTGGGTACTCGGGCACACGGCTCTTGAAGGAGGGCAGCTCGGTGACATACTCGTTGTAGAGCCACTTCACCTTGAAGTGCAGGTTCATGTAGTCCGCGCTCTTGCACAGTCGGTGCTTGTCGTGCTCTGCTCGGGGAGGAGGGCACAGGGTGCTGTGCTGCCAGCCCCAAACCTGGTGGTGGCTGCTCCAAGGGCAGCCCCGGGGGCACAGGGAGCAGGGGCAAGATGGAAGGGTTTCTTGGGTGGGATTTGAGCTAGGCTTGATGAACGGGTGTGATGGGATTGCCCAGGGAGGGGATGAGGGGGGAGCACAGTGCTCCCTCCAGCTTGGGGTGGCGTGTGGGGACTCACCCTCCATTGCGTACTTCATGTCCTGAGCAAAGAGGTTCCACATCACCTCTGCACTGATCTTCCCCACATTCAGTTCCTGGGGGAACCTGGGGCAGGGGGACAAACACAGGGTGGACCAGCCCTCCACTTGCAGACACATGCCCCCCCCGCCTCCCGCCTGCCTCAGTTTCCCCCTCTGTAGAATGGATGAATGTAGAATGGAACCCACTTCCAAAGGACTAAAGGTGCTCTTGACACCGTGTGACCATCCCCTGGGTGCAAAGCAGGGTCCCCTTTCCCAGCACCTACTCACTGGTTCAGGCAGGGCGTGTAGGAGTTCTTGTCTTCCTCAATAATGGAGACTATCAGGGTGATAAGCTTGGACCAGAAGTCCAGGTTTTTGATGCTGGGGCCCTGCTCCTCCGGGGGCACCTCACCTTTCTTAGTCTGGAATGATGGGGACACAGCAGAGGCTCCAGTCACCCCACCTGCTAATAAGGAGGTAGGAGGGCTCTGGGGACACCCAACCCCTGTTGTCTGAGCCTGGTTTCAACCCCACAGTGGTGGGGCTCAAATCCTGCCCAAGATTTGAGGCTGAGCACTTTGGAGAGGGAGCACCATGAAGGAGAAAGGCAGGGAATGGGGAAGGTCAGGAGGGGGCAACGAGGTCCCTTGGCATCTCACTGCATCCCAGTGCATCCCTGTGCACCCCAGCTCCCCCCACTCCACGCACCGGGTCTGTCTGGTACTCGCGACTGTACAGCTCATGACAGTTGTTGAAGATGTACTCGTAGGTGGAGTTGAGACAGGCTTTCACACAGTCCTTCACCACCTGGCTGGCTCGTGGGGGGCTCTGCAGCTCCTGGACCTGGATGTGAGGGGAGGGAGTGGTGCTGGATACCACCTGGGAACTACCACAGGGCCAGCGTGACCCCAACCCTGCAATGCACAGGGGCCAGCGAGGGTCAGGCCCCCCAGCAGGGGACAGGGTGGGTGAGCCCCAGAAATACCTTCATGCGAAAGAAGGTGATGCTGGTCAGCAAATCCACGGTGGACTTGAGATCCTGCAGCCGTTCGGGACTGCTGGCAGGGAAGTTGTTCTGTTGCGGGCGGAGGAAAGAGGAGAGTTGCACTCAAAACTCTCACAGGGGAGAGTGGAGAGGGAGAAAACAGCCGCCTGTGATTCAGACGTTATGAGACGGGTGGGAAACTGAGGCACAGAGGGCACGTTACCCGGTACATGGAGAGGTCGATCCGCAGCGAGTTGTGCAGCTGGTCGAGGAGTTTGACGAACCGCTCCTTCTGCGGAGAAACGCCCCAGGGCAGGTGAACGGGGGAAGGGCAGCAGGGACCGCCCCCCACCCGCTGCCCTCGCCTCGCTCTGTCCCCAGCCCGCCCCACACTGCCCCAGCTGGTCCCTCTGCGTCCCACTGTCCTGCTGTCCTTCCTGCCCTCCTTCCTGCAGCAAAGCCCTGCGGGCAGGCACGGGAGGCCTGCAGAGAACAGCGCGTCGGAGTCACAGACTGGTTTGGGTCGGAAGGGACCTTGAAACATCGCTGCCCTGGGCAGGGACACCTTCCACTAGAAGGTCCTCGCTGGTGGCCGGGGCTCCGCGGCAGCTGTTGATGGTTCCTGGGGCACCCCTGGCTGTGCTGGGCACAGGACAGGACTGAGGGGCAGCAGCACGTGTTCCCAGCTGCCCCCGCTGCCATCACCACTTGAACATCTCTGAGTCTGGGCTCAGGGCAGGGGGAGGGTGTGTGGGATTGTGTCCCTGGATTGAAGCTTTCCAAGAGCTCAGGAAAAAAGGGAAGGG